CTCTGTGAACCTTTTGTCTGTGTTTTAGAACTCAGATTCTAGAACTCTAGAACTAGTTAACAATAGACCAGCCAGATGACATTTGATCCCACACTGTGCACAAGGTCGGACCCCTCTATGCCAGATTTAGGAACTCTACCTGTTCTGGTGCTTGGCTTAAGTCCTTTTTTCAAGTCACTGTGTATTGGAATATTCCACTCTTTGAAAAGAGGAAGCTGGCCCAGATTAACAGAACACTTAAAAAAACCCATCTTAGAAAAATAAATTAAACAAGCCATAAATGAGCTCCCTAAGAAAAGTCTCTAGGACCAGATGGATTCACAAGTGAATTCTACAAATATTTAAAGAATAATTAATTCCAATGCCATATAAACAAATTGGAAAAATAAGCAAAGAAGGAATCCTACTTAATTTCTTCTCAGCACAAATTTAGTTCTGATACCTAAACTAGGAAGAGCAAGAACAGAGAAAAAATTATATGCCAATTTTACTAATTAATATTAATACAAAAAATTAAATAAAATACTAGCAAGGAGATTACAGTAGCATATTACAAAGATTATACCAGGCAGGATTTATACCAGGAATGCAGGGCTGGTTCAATATTAGGAAAACTACCAGCATAATTGATCAAATCAATAACAAAACTAACCAAAATTATATGATTATTTCAATAGATACAGAAAAAATATTTTAACAAAATATAATACTCAATCCTATTTAAAAAAAACAGTAGAAAGCATAGGAATAAATGGAACTTTTCTTCAGCAAAAATTGTCTGTAGTGGGGATGAGTTAGAAATCTTTTCAGTAAGATCAGGGATGAAGCAAGGATGCATATTATCTATCACTCATTATCCAATATTCTACTAGAAGTGCTACCTATAGCAATAAAAGAAGAAACTGAAGGAATTAGAAGAGGCAGTGAGGAAACAAACTATCACTTTTTTCAGACAATGTGATGGTATACTTAAAAGAAAACCATAATCAACTAAAAAAAATAGTGGAAACCATTAACAACTTCAACAAAGGTGCAAGATATAAAATAAGCCCTCATAAAATACCAGCATTTCTATATATTACCAACAAAATCCAGCAACAGGAGATGGAAAGAGAAATTCCATTTAAAATGGAATTCAGGGCTTAGATTCTTAAAATCTAGCCACTGCTCAGACTCTTATCATCTAGCCACTAGATTACTAATGTTCAGACTCCTTTAGAGCCTGCCAAATATGATGGATGTCCTAATAAACCTTGTCTTTGGCTGAAAGAAGGCTTGGGTCAAATTCTTTTGGGGAGGATCTGTGTATTATGATATTGGGGTCCAAGCACCTCTAAACCTCAACATTTTGGTGGCCCATACAGAGAAACTGCTCAACCCCAGGTTCTCCAGTTTTCACTGTTAATGAGATGTTGATTCTGTGTAAAGTAATCTGGAAATTCATTTAACAAAATTGAAGTCATCTGATTGGTAATGAGTTTGTTTCAAGTTTCAAAGGGGTGAACTTTTATATCAGTTATGTCAATCAACTTTTCATAATTTGGTTACTGCTAAAATAATTTGGCTATAGTTGGTTATTGTTTTAATGTATAAACTTGCCAAAAAGCTCGTTTGGGTTATGTATGGCTTGCTGAGAATTTGCAAGTGTATAGAAATCTCTAATGATTGGCTTTTTATACTAGGACAAATTTAAGTTTGAGATGTCAATCCTGGAAAAAGTTTTTCCTAAGCTGTGATTAGTAAAACTTGATGTTTGAGGTAAAAGCTCATAGGATTTTATTTTGAGTTGTCTGATGGGTCATAATCCATCAATAATCAATAATCCATCATCTGAGAAAAATGCCACAAGCCACTCAGAGAATGTGATACTGGTGGGAAGTAAGCACTGGGAAAAGCTGAGAGGACAAGTTTAGCCTCAGTCTAAGATGGTATCCTCCTGGCTCAGTTTCTCCATTATGTTTCTTTGAAAAGGAATGTTACCCACCTGGCTATTCCTGAGTCTGGCTATGAGGTGGATTTGATACAGCATGGTTGAAAAACTGAGTTATCTGAATCCAAACAGAGCTAACAATATTTTATCCTGTCATTTGGGCCCTGAAGTCTTTTCTGTCAGATTTGTGTCTTCCAGACTACAGCCTATTCACCTAAAGTTGGTAGCAAACAGCGGGTACCAGCCAGTATCTCCCCATTGTTCCCTGGATGCAGCCTGTGCTTAGTTCCAGTCAACCTGCTCTTTGGGACCCCCTCGAGGAAGGGACAGCTCTATGACCCTTACCAGCAGGAAGCAGTTTCAGAAACCGAGACCTTTGCCCCTTAATCCAAAAGAATTTGGGTCCCATTTATTTGAGGGGGGAATGATGGGATTGGGATCTGAACCCCAGAAAGGAAAACCCTGGGCTTTCTCACATGGCCAAATCTCTGGTGTTTGCCTGAGGCTATAATCCTGTCAACTGTCCTTTCTTTGTGGCTGTACCCAATCACCCAATTCTGTTACCCTTAACCTAGTTTAGCCCTCCCTATAGCCCCAGGCCATTTCCTACACTTAATCCCATCTAGGCTCTATTGTCCAAGTCCCAGGAGTTCTGGTCACCCCAGATTACTGGCCACTCCCATCCAGAACTCCTTAGACCCCTCCTCCAGTCACCCCTAACTATTTGGCCACTCCTAGATCTCTCCCACAGTCTTTCTGTATATAAGGTCCATCTTGTCTCCATTGAGATGCTTAGATTCTTAAAATCTAGCCACTGCTTAGATTCTTAGAATCTAGCCAATACCTCACAGACTCTCAGATTCCAGCTAATATGGTGGATCTTTAATAAACTTTTTTTTTGGCTGAAAGAAGGCTTGGGTCTAATTCTTTCGGACAGGATCCACATGTTGTGATTCTGGGGTCCCAGCACCCCTAAACCTCATCACTACAACTTGTATTTTTAAAGAGTTGATAAGCTCCAAGATTTTAATTGTATTTAATTGTATTACCAGGGACACAATTCTCTTCATATATATATATACTATATATATAGATATATATCTATATATATCTATATATATAGATATATATATATATATATATATATCTATATCTACAGATCTATATCTCTATCTGTATTTGTCAGAAGTAGACTAACCAATAGTACTACTGAAGCCAAATGAAAATTACAAATGTCACCTGTGAATGTTTGAATGAGGTTAGATAGAATATTTAGTAATTCTGGTACCTGAGACAAATACTATAAAAATGTGTCTAGTGTGACAAGTGTTAGAAAAATCTGAAACAAAAATCTACTACAGTGAGGGAGTGAAGGAAAGCCTTTCTGACAAGAGAAGCAGGCACAATGCACCTTAGTAGCAAGTGGTAGAATCAACTTTTAAACCATTAGTAAGATCCATACTCCACCCACCAGGGTTATAATTGGTCTAGTTCATCAGAGTTACACTCTTCCTGGACAGCCCATCACATGTTTGACCATGTTCTGTTAACTACACCCACTTCATGGGTCCCATGTTCAAAAATGACAGCTATCTCTGCCCTTGGGGTGTGTCAGTTAACATTTAATAAGCTTATTAAGCAAGTGCAGTGTAGAAAAGCCTTTTACTGGTCAAAGCCCTCTCCTTGAACTGGAAGAGTTGAAACTGGTTTAGCCTCCAGGGCTCTTTCTTAAGGAACTAGTTGTTTGCTGTACTTTCTGATTGGTTGAGGAACTATCCACAAGATCTTAGAATTTCTTATCCTACTGTGGAAGCCTAACCCCCTAAAATCTTCCTTACAAGTACCCTTAAATTAACTTTTTAAGGCTAAGTTCAGTTGGGTAGAGAAAGAGGACTGATCTCAGATTGATCTCAGTATTAGGTTAAATATTAGGTTAAGATCCTGGGGTACCACCCTGTGGGAGAATAGAGTAAACAGAGACCCCAAGTCACCTTTTCTTATCATGGGAAGAAAGTATGAGGCCTCTGCTTGAGAGATTATTAGCAGGGGAGAGATTGGGCATGATATACAGATAAGTTTCCTCCTATTTATGTGGCTTTCTATTTTAATTAATTATTCTTTCTAATTGTGTGGTAAGGCGAGTTGTTTCTACCTACTGAAGGAGTCCAAATGCTATTTTTAGCCCCCAGATTTCATTACCCTTTTGATGTGGTTTAGTGGTTCAGGGGTGCTGGGACCTCAATATTACAACACATGGGTCCTGTCTGCAAGAATTCGACCCAGGCCTTCTTTCAGCCAAAGACAAGGTTTATTAGAACATCCATCATACTGGGCAGACTCTTAAGGAGTCTGAACAATAGTAAGCTATTGGCTAGATTATAAGAATCTAAGCAGTGGCTAGATTAAAAGAATCTGGCAGTGGCTAGATTTTAGGAATCTGAGCATTTTAAGGGAGACAAGGAGGATCTTACATAAGGAAAGCCTGTGGGAGGGATCTAGGAATGGCCAAGTACTTTGGGGTGACCAGAGGCCTAAGGAGATCTGGATGGGAGTGGCCAGTCAGCTGAGATGAACAGAAATCCTGGGACATGGACAATGGAGTCTTGCTAGGATTATGGGTGGGAAATGGCCAGGGGCCATAGGGAGGTAAAACAATGGAGGGGAGATTGGGTGTAGCCACAATTAAAGGCTAGTTGATGGGATTATAGCCTCAGGCTAACACCAGAGATTTGGCCCTCTGGGAAAGTCCAGGGTTTTTCCTTTCTGGGGCCCAGATCCCAACCCCATCACTTTGGGCAAAATCTTAATTTTCACACTCTACTTAAGGCTTTGTATAGATAACTTTGTGTGATTTCTCATGTGCATAGTATAGCAGAGTAGATAGATAAAACCAGTAAGATTCAAATTTCATAAGCCAATTTCAATGGGGAGCAAAACCTCTACCCCTTTATCAGAAGGTTAAATTAGTAACATCCATGGTAGGGTACATGCCATTCTAGCAGGTATCATTGTACTAATGTACTTCTATGAGCATGTTGATTTTTTCATTTTATTCAAATTTGTGTTCCAGAGCAATGAGCTGAAGAATCTACTTCCTCAGTGGACTTCCAGAGATGCTATTGCCTTCCTCGGCCTTTCAAAGGTAGAAAAGTTGAACTCCAAGCAATTTTCTTGCTGTATATATGTTCAGAACTAGCAATGGTCATATAAAACAATCAAAATCATCTGTTGTGAATACAAATAACCCAGTGATAGTTTTGATGAGGTCTAGAGATTTAGCAGTGCTTGACCCTGAGATCATGACACACAGGTCATGGCTGAATCTTTGCCCCTTGCCACTGAAAAATTTGTGTCACATTTATTTGAGGGGAGAATGATGGGGTATGGGCCCAAGCTCAGGCTTTTGCCCCTTGTCCCCAAAAAGAATTTGGCTCCCATTTGTCTATGGGCCCCAGAGTAACCTTAAACTTTTCTTGACCTCACTCTGGTCTCAAATGGTTACCTGAGGCTATATTCCACTCAATGGCTTTTCCTTGTCAGCTCTTCTTAGGCAACCTTTGAAAGCCCTAGCCTCACCTTTTGATCATATTCAGATGCCTTTCAAACTTCTTCCTTCCTGTTCCCTTCATTATCTATTCCCATTGTCCATTCTATCTCTCTTTCCAATTGGACTTCTACCTAAGTCACCTAGACCCTTTTCCCAGCCCTTCCTCTGCTCACCCAAAGTTACTTTAGTGTATATAAGATCTACCCTGGCCCCCATTTATATGCTGAGACTTTCTCTGAACTAATGTTCAGATTCCTTAAGAGTCTGGCCTGTATAGTTTATCTCAAATAATCTTTTTCTGCATGTGTCGTGATCTCGGCGATCCAGCACCCCTAAACCTCAAGGTCTCATCAGGTTGAGGAACAGGTTTGTCTTAGTTTTTAGAACTTTCAGCACTTCGCTAACATATCTGCTTTAATCATTCTGTTGAAGTTAAATTGTATTCCCAACATGATGAAAACCCAGAACTGGGGTTTGGTGTGTACTGTGTTTTAACACCCAGTTATTTAGTGAGTTGGAACAGGGGAAAATATCCCATGAGGTCAGAGATAAATCTATTAAAAAGTGAACTATTAACTGAAGTCAGAGAGGAGGACTGTCTAGACCAGACCTCCCTGGCCTTCATTAAATTCTCTAACACACACACATACACACACACACTTCTAAACATGAAAACTATCTAATGCCAGCATAAGGACTTATGAAACTCAGTAGCTGCAAGCACAAATTCCAAAATTAGTATTTCAATAACATAAATTTCTAAATCGAAAAAAATATTTCTGTTTTTTTGACCTTTTAACATTCTGTGGGCCTCAGTTTCCTCACCTTCAAAATGAAGAAACTGAATTAATATCTACTACAGACTCTTCCAACTGATTCTATGAGCTCTGGGCACTGTATTAAACACTGGGTGAGAGTTGGATGGAGAGCAGAAGGTGTAGTAATAGTGATGCAAAAGAGAAAAGAAAAAAAGGACATCAATGAAGCATTTAAAAACAATAAAGCAAAAGGAAATATATAAAAGTAGAATGTCAAGCAGAGTAATGTTAATACTAACACATTAAATTTAATACATATTTTAAAAACAATTTGTATTAATAATTCATGGTTTTATATATTTACAATCTTCTTTTTCTGACCTTCTTTGAATAACAAAATATTCATGTTTGTTATTGATTTCCTATGTCGTAATGAAATATTTTAAAATGATAAATATTCACAGAAGGGTAAAGTACTATATTTATGTCTAAATTCCATTGCCTTACCATTTGACCACTACATAGTTGTCATTTTTTTAGAATAAGAATACAATTTCCATATGAATAATTGATGTTGATGATATAATATAAAAATAACAAGACTTCTAGTGAGGAAATGTGCAATCTAGGTCTTTTCCTTCTTTCACTGTGTACCTATAAGCAAGCCATTCAATTTTATTGACCTCAGTTTCTTCATCTATAAAGGAGTTTGAGTAAATCAGGGGTGGGGAACCCGTCACCTCAAGGCCACTTGTGGTCTTCTAGGTCCTTGGGTATGGCATTTTGACTAGCCCTAGTTTTACAGAACAAATACTTTTATTAAGGGGATTTGTTCTGTGAAGTTTAGATTCAGTAAAAAGGCCACACTTGAGAACCCAGAAGGCCATATGTGGCCTTGAGAATGAGGTTCCCCACCCCTGGACTAGATGGATGATAAATAAGAACTCTATCAATTCTAACATTCTGTGATTCCTATTTCTTTCTTGGAATTAGTCCTCATTGAATGGCATGCACTTGTTCTAATAATGTTGGAAGTATTTGAAACATTTCTAGAAATCCTTTTAGGGAACTGCCTTGGGAACTAGCACACAAGCCAACTAAGAAAATAAGTCACTTTATTATAGTCTCAGTTTGTATATCATATAATATCACAATAATAACTTGAGACATATGCAAGAGTTTCTAAGACATGGTAAAAATTTATCTTGTTTTGCAAGCAAACTTTTGTTCAGTTAACAAAATAATTCAATTAACAAGTCAATCAACCCACAAGACACATCTTTATCATTTACGCTTAAAGAAATTATATTTCCCTGAGTTCAGAGACACTGTTTTAATGTCTAGTTGATCTAAATAGTAGGTAAGGATTTTTTTCCCCTTTTGGAATTTAAACTAAAAGTTATTGTTAGATAAGGAGTCAATAGTACTTACATTTGATGCACATAACTGACGCTCTCTTTCAACAGCCAGCCAAAGGTGCTAATTTTGATTTAGTGTATCCAAAGACAGTTCCTTTCATATTTTTTCTTAGAGATTTGATTCATGTTTCAAAGCTAATAATGGATGTGCAGTAAATATTTATTTGTCCAACTTCTTGTCACCTTTCCTTTCAATATTTGGAAGTTCCTGTCTATTTGGGATTCTGACATTTGTCCATTTTAAATTTGTTTTCCCCTGAGATCTAATGAGTGTAGACAGCATATAGTTCTGCCTACACTGCCACTGACTAATGCTGCAAAGTGAATGTTCCCTGACTACTGTCTTGAATTTGATGCTATTGTGAAAAGTAGGAACTTGAGAGGAGGTTGAGGAAGAAGAGGAAAGGACAGTAAAAACTGTCTACCTAATATTTTTAGAACAGAGACTGGCTACAAAAAGGGAATAGTAGAGTTCTCTCTCCATTGCTTTACCTCCATCACCCACAGTACCTACAAGTATGTCTGGTAAACAATTATTAGAGAAGAATGGTCTTGACCACATTGCTGTGGGTTGCCTCTGGTAAAAGGAGGTAGGATATATCCAAAAGAACAATCTCAGAAGGAGATCATGGCAGTGAGATCGAAAGGGAATATCAGGAGAGGGCTGGGACACATTGGATATGAAATCCTAAGATAGAAGCCTTATCACAACTTAGAACACTTGTGATATCCTTTTCCCTTAGCAAGAGAACTCTTGTCTAAAAAAGTAAGAGGGTTGCAAGAGCCCATGTGAGTGCTCAGCAAAGGCATGACCTTGTAGAAAAAAAGATATAATAGGAATTTATGGAAAAAAAACCTTTCAATAAAATATGCACTATTTGAAACTTCTTGAGGAAAGCAAGGCATTGTAGGAAATAAGAAGTAGAAGTGAGCAAGAATGGAGTAGTGAATCCTAAATGGATAGTCTCCCTAAACAACTGTTTAGTTCCTGAAACAAGCAATAACATTACTTTTCAACCTAAAAGGGAATCATTAGGAAAACTTAGACAGAAGTGTGTCAATAAACCAGGTAAACAATACTTGGGATTCACACCTCTAAAGAATATGCTAATTTTGCTTTTGTGGGAGTTTATGATGCTTTCTTCTTGCTCAGCTTGAAGAACAAAGTGTTGATTACAAGTTGACATTTCACATATGTAGAATGAAAAATAAAATTGGCATACAAGCCTTCTTATAGAACTTCTATGAACAGAAAGATCTGGGCTAACACTATTTTACATTAGTGTTTTCTCCCTGGTGATCTGTGAAGCCTGGATATCATTTAATGGTTATAACTGAAGCTTTCTAGCTTAGTAGAACCTACCAGAGCTTGCACCCTTTTAGTGTAGCCTTCAAGGAATAAAATCAACTCCAAGCCACAATGAAGAATCAGAATCAAACTTTAGTAGAAGAGATGTAGCTAGGTAAGATTAGAGCAAATAATGAATCCCCCTGAAGTGGTTGCATTATTCAAATTTGCATTGCTTATTGGGCTGGAACCAATTACCATAGTTTACATAATTATAAATTGAAATAGTGTGAATTCAAATGCATGCAACCACTAGAGTGTATTCATTATTCACACTAATCAAGACAAGGCTTGGCTGTTTTTATTATCCTCAGGTATCAGCAAGACCAGCAAAGGGAATTATCACACTCCACTAATCACAGGAGGCAAAACTTCTTTAGTTCCATGAGATCCAGCTCAAGTACCCCCTTCTACATGATGCCTTTTGTGACCTCCCAATTGCTAATGTCCTCTTATCCACACCACCTCATATTTCATTTGTATTATTTTCTATATGTTTGCACTAAATGTGTGCGTGTGTTTGTGTGTGTATGTGTTGTCTTCCCTGACAGAATGTAAGTTACCTGAAAGCAGAAACTACAATTTTGTCTTATTATTCTCATTATCTAGTACAGGTTCTGGCATATAATAAATGCATTTTGATTAAATCCCTCTTTAGGCTGGATTTTCTCTACAGTGTCAAAGAAATGTCTTCACCCAGGAAGCTCCATCAATCTAAAAGAAGGGAGGTGGGACTGAGGGAGGCAGTGGTCAAAAGCAAAACACTAGTGAGGAGGGAAAGGGAGAAAGGAGAAAGAAATGCATAAATGGGGGGAGGGAAATGGGATGGAGAAAAATACACAGATAGTAATCATAATTGTGAATGTGAATGTGAATGGGATCAACTCTCCCATAAAACAGAAGCAGATTGCAGAATAGATTAAAAGCCATAATCCTACAATATGTTGTTTATAGGAAACACATTTGAAACAGAGCCACACACACAGGTAAAAGGTTGGAGTAGAATATGTCATGCTTCAGCTGAAGTAAAATAAGCAGGGGTAACAATCCTGATCTCCCACAAAGCAAAAACAAAAATAGATCTTATCAAAAGAGATAAGGAAGGAAACCTACATCCTGCTAAA